GAGAGCAGTCAACTCCGAGGAAATGCCCACGCCTCCCACTAAGGCACTGGCGAAGGGCAGCACCCCGACCAGTGACCAGAGTGTGTCTTCGTCCCCAGATGTGGCCCTCCGGCTGAGCAACGGCAGCCACCCGTGTGAGGGCCGCGTGGAGCTGCGCTACAACGGCAGCTGGGGGACCGTATGTGATGACAGCTGGGACCTGCGCGACGCCCAGGTGGTGTGTCGGCAGCTGGGCTGCGGCAGGGCGGCGTCAGCCCTCGGGCGGGCACACTTTGGCCATGGCCTGGGCCCCATTGCCTTGGACGACGTGGAGTGCCTGGGGCATGAGGCCAGGCTATGGTGGTGCCCGCACAGTGCCTGGTTCTCCCACAACTGTGGCCACCACCAGGACGCCGGCGTCATCTGCTCAGGTGGGCCCGGCCTCTGCAGGTCAGAATCACCCGGAGGCAGGGGGTGGGTGAAAGAACATAGAGGCTCCATGAGTCCCCCACCCTACTGAGCCTAGAGCTGTAGGGAACCTGCAGTGGGGCTACAAGGTGTCCTTCACAGTCTATCCACTGTTCCCCGGCCCAATTCCTGCCATGTCCCCACACTGCCCCACTCTAATTTTCTTATTTAAAAAAAAAACAAACCAAAAAAAAAACCTGTTGCCCTCAAGTCAATTCCCACTCAGAGCAACCTTATAGGACAGTGTGAAACTGTCCATATGGTTTCCAAGGCTGTAATCTTTACAGAAGCAGACTGCCACCTCTTTCTCCCGAAGAGTTGCTGGTGTGTTTGAACCGCCGACCTCTCGGTTAGTAGCCGAGCACTTAATCACTGCACCTTCCTTTAAGTGGACTCTTTTTATTTTCATTTTACAGTTTCATTTTACATAATTTCGTTTTATAAGGACACTTTATACCACCACCATAAATGGATCACTTGCCATAAATAGACAGTACATACGTTAAACACAGTGACATAAAAATGTTAAAGTGCTTCAAATTAAAACAAAGTAAACAATGAACTAGCTAATCTAACCCCTTCACGCCCATGTATATCTAAAATACCCTTAATCAGAAATGGAACTAAATATAAATTTTTTAATTCTAATATAATAAAGGAATAACTCTTAAAATAGAAGGTGCACCACCTCAGGTCACCCACTCAGGAAGAATGACAAAACCAAGCCAACTGGAAAGATAAGAGCTACCGAAAAAAAAAAAAAAAA